GCCTCCCTACACACGTTCAGGTCGGTTCTTCATTTCATCTTCATTTCGTAACTCCAGTGTGTGGTGCTTTCCTTCACATCCAATGGTTCAGCAAGATTTTTTACGGTTTGCAATAAAATGCAATATTACAGTATATTAATATAGATTTTCCTCCGTGTATTGATACTACGACTAGTTGCCAAGATACAGAGCACGATGGACATAACATGATAATGATAGTGAAGCCTGGAAGGGTTCATATCATAACTTGTGTGTTCGTGCGTATGTTGCCCCGTGAGAGTTACCGTGAGCCTCCATGTGCCCAGGTGGGATGGTCAAAGTATTACACTATAAGTGTGTCAAATGAGGAGTGACTGATCCACATGTAATTTAAGGTTTTTGAAAAATGTAGTTCAATTAAACAGATTTTTCATATAGTTATGCGAATGATGGGAAGCATCGTGGTCTGGCACTATGCGCAGACCAACTTATATCTGAACTGTCTCGGATGTGAACTAATTATATATTAACCTTCATTACTAAGGATGACGCCCGATGCTACACACACACACACACACACACATACACAAGCGCTGTAAACGTTGTGTGGATTCACTGGGTGGTTTGGAAGTGTTTATTTCCATTCATACTTTCGTAACTACAACCTATGGTAATTTTTCTTCGTGTTCATATATAATGAAGATAATGCAGAATATAAAATGCCATATACAATACTTATACATAATGTCATGTATACAGCCCGACTATGACTGCTTTGCATTATATACAGCAAGATGATTCATAAGAACTGTGTGTGTTCATGCATGTGTTGCCTTGTGATAGTTAGTGGGGGCCCCCGTCCAGAAAGGACGCTGTACTAACCTCCAGTATCGACCCAAGTGGGCTAGAGATTATGTTTTCCGACTGTACTTTTCAAAATCACATCATCAGCCCCGATGCCACTTTTCTTTTTTTAATTTTCTCATTTCGCTGTTCATTTGGCAACGCAAATTGTGCCACTTTCGTGTGATTTCTGATTCGGGAATATTTAATATCTTTGTTATTTCTTTTAAAGCATTTGCCTTCTTTTCTTTATTGCGGTACTCCATCAACGACACATTCCACAGTTCTGGGAACCTTTCATATTGTTGTATTAATAATATAGTCATATCACTATCCCACTTCTATCTTTCATTGGACGACATTTTACTCGCGTGGTAAAGCAGTTCTCTAGATAGAAGAAAGAAATCTATTTAAATCAACAAACAGACCCAGAGCAGTCTCAGCACCTGCTCTCCACCTCGTGTCCACTACAACAACCCTACCGAGATCGGAGACTAGTTGTAGTTAGAGCGCTCTCACTTCTGTTTACACTATTTAAAGAGCTCTAGCTAGAGCAAATCTAGCTAAAAAGTCTACAGTGTACACGTACCTTTAGTTTCTTTCGGTCTTCTATATCTCTGTTTTTAGATCTGAAAGAAACAGAAGAAAATAAATGCTGTATACAGTACAAACATTAATAGCAACAGCATAGGCTTTTATCATGCTTTCATCACCAATGTCAATGGGCAAACGGGATGCAGAACAGACTAATATCATTTACTGTACATATATGCAGCACAAAAGAAATATGTGAGGGTTTTGTAGGATTTTAAAATACAGCAATGTTTACAGAGCCTGTTTATAGTTTAAAAAAAATGTAAATTTGCCATTAAAAATCGAGTCAGAAAACATGGTTATACTTTATGATGCTGAGTGTGCACTTACATCAGTACAGGTACTCCTGGACTTACGACCGCCTCAGTCATACCAAAATTTTTTAAAATTACGTATTTTCGAGTCCCAATGATTGCGCTGTGTACTGACAAAATTTTCGTTTGTAATTCCCTTTAAAATGGCTGGCAAGCTTAAAAGTGAGAGTTTTGTGGTGCTGAGAAGAAGAAGAGAGACACATTTAAGATTTTCTATGTTTTATTTTCGCATTTTCGACTTACAACCTGGATTTGGGTCCCTAACGTCATCATAAATTGGGGACTGCCAGTATATCGAAAACAAATAGAGAAAAAAGTTTTGAAGTAGGGCTAAAATAGGCTAACACATATCTACTAGGCTACAGTCATATCTACAATAAAAATTATTATGATATGCTGGTAATGAGGACTCATATGCTTCTGACAAGTCTTTTGAGATGCCCCTTCAGAAACTGAGCCTAGGCCTGTTTGAAGCTTATCTTGCCAGAATATTTGGGCTTGCCAAGTGTGTGGAGGCACCAACCCCATACTTGCCCATTCTTCTTGGTGCATGTCATGGTCGTAAAGTATTGCCAGGCACCTAATGTAAAGTACACCAAATCTGCAGAATAATACCGGTTTCATATAAAGTTATATGCTGTATAACTTCGTTCTATGACAATGGGCACCCATTGGCAGTGAATAACTGGCAGAATATATGGAAATAACCTAACCTTACCTAGCTTAACTGTAACTTAAGCTAACCTATTTTTAACTTAACCTAACTTTATTTTAACCTAACTTTAACTAAATTTAAGTTAATCTAACCTAATTGTAATTTAATCTAACTTAACCTCATCTCACCTAACTTGAACTTAACATAACCTTACGTTAATTTAACCTACCTAACCAAATATTAAACATGACTGATCCACCAATTTTTTTCAATTAACCATAATTTTTTATCAATGTTTTTTCATTTACCGATTTGTAGTTAAAAAAATCTTGTAGTTTTCATCTTTTGTACATAATTATTACTAAAAATAAAACATGTCAATAAAGTATTAATTCTTAGTGTTCCATGTTTTGTTCAATTTATTCACTGGCAATTAAAGATGACAAACAAGAGAACCTAACACAGTGTGGCTGAAGCACCTTTTTACTCATGTATCCTCCATACCAGTTCCTTCATTATGAATTTATTTATTGTTTCAGACATCATACAAAATTTTAACCTAGCACGCTTAGGAGTAAAAATAAATCAATGGCTAACACTTGCACATATAAACTATATGGTCAATACGACTCAGGCACCTGCATTGAATAGCATACAGGGATATATAATTTATGAAAGTGGACATAAAAACACTTATTTTGATATATAACTGAACGTGATCATAAAATTATATGAAGGAAGGGAAAATGGGGAGGTGAGATGGGAGCTTTCCTTCTGTCTACTTGGTTAGGAGGTGGGACTCCTCACATGACACGTCACTTAAATACTGTAATCCTAATCAATTTAGTAACCTAATGGCAAAAAAACGTATTTTTAAATACTAAACTTGGAAATAAACATATACAGTCAACCCTCACTTTACGCGGTCCCACATTCCGCGTTTCCACGTTTACGCGGTGCCCTGCCAGAACCCAAGAAGCTCACATTCCGCAGTGGGTGTACCCCTTTACACGGGTGAAGTATAATTATTTTATTTAGCTCATAAAATTCATACAAATTATCCGCCCAGAATATAGTTTACATTGCTGGAATTCTTACAATTTGATGATCATTTTGAGTATAAACATCATAGATTTTGCATTAGACATACAAATTTGAGATATAATGTTTACTCTGAGTAAATATGTTATCTTTTGTGCAAAATATATGACATTTATATTCAAAATATTCCTGGTCTTACAAGGAATCCAGCAATGTCAATTATATTATCCTAACTTTAGTCTGACGTATTATTTATTACTAAAAAGGTAAATAGTCTGGTTTTCCCACACATTTATCTGGTAGGGAGGGTTGGTGGGGGGTAGGAGGGAGGGAGGGACCATCTGACCATCTGGCACGGTGTGAATATTTTTTCTTTTTTTATTAACTGAAGATATTTGTTTTAGCTCATAAAATTCATACAAATTACCCGGCCAGAATATAATTTACATTGCTGGAATTCTTACAATTTGATGATCATTTTGAATATAATCATCATAGATTTTGCATTAGATATACAAATTTTAGATATAATGTTAAACTCTGAATAAATATGTTATCTTTTGTGCAAAATATATGACATTTATATTCAAAATATTCCTGGTCTTACAAGGAATCCAGCAATGTCAATTATATTATCCTAACTTTAGTTTGAGGTATTATTTATTACTATACCTGGTTTTCCCCCCAAAATTTCTCAGAGAGGGAAGAGCCAGGAGTGTAGTGTGAGAAGAGGGGGAGGGAGTCGAGTCCATTATTTGAATGGACATTGACTTGGCGACTGTATTTCTCTTAAGTATTAATTGTGTGCATGTACCATCATAAAATTAAGATGTTATTTTTACTAGAACATAGGTATTGTGTTGGAAAAAGTGGAGTTTGGGGGTCAGCCGGTCTCTATTTCATTTAATCTCATATGTTATGTTATTCACTTTACGCGTTTCTCACTTTCCGCCGTACCCTGTGGGTTGAATTAACCGCGTAAAGTGAGGGTTCACTGTACCTACTTCCGTTTTATGTGCTCGTAACTTCTCTCGAGGTGCTTGGCTGAGCGAGGGATTTGGTCTGGGTTGCTGGCGTTGAATGAAGCAGTAATTTCATCCCAAGGCCTTTCTTTTCCTATCATTTATGGTGTTGCTTGTAGACCTGTCCTCAATGATTGGCCTTTGCTCAATATGGCGCAAAAGTGCCATGTGTTGGGTTTCAGACAGAGCTGCAGAACGTTTTCTTACTACCTCCATGTTTGATAACCCGCGCGCAAACATTGTTGCCAAGTGCTCAGATGAAAAAATTATCTATTTTGTTTCGAACAGATAATAAAGTTCAATTTTATAAAAAAATATATTTTACAATATATTATTGTGCCGGTATAAAATAACAAAATATTTCTCTAAATCGTCTTTCTAATTATGTGAAATAATACATTAGGCACACGCGCATGGCCAAAAAAAATTTTGCCATCCGACACGAGCTGCCGTGTTTACACGCTCATGTAAGTGCCTAGAAATATGGCACTCAGCGTTGGGTGGTTGCATCCCGACACACGATCATCGAGATGATGATCGTGATCGTCATTATCGTCGTAATGACTATCAATACGGCCCTTACTCAGACACCCGCATGGAATAGCATATAGGCATATATAATTTATGAAAGTAGACATAAAAAACATTTATTTTGATAAATAACTCAATGTGATCATAAAATTATATGAAGGAAGGGAGAATGGGGAGGTGAGATGAGAGCTTTCCTTCTGTCTACTTGGGTAGGAGGTGAGGTTCCTCACATGACCCATCACTTAAATACTCTAATCCTACTCAATTTAGTAACCTAATGGCAATACACCGTACATTTAAATACTAAACTTAGAAAGAAGCATACCGTATACTTGCTTCCCTTTTATGTGTTCGTAGCTCCTCTTGAGCTGCTTGGCCGTGCGAGGGAGTTGGTCTGGGTTGCTGGCGTTGAATGAAGCAGTAATTTCATCCCAGGCCTTTCTTTTCCTATCATTTATGGTATTGCTTATAGACCTGTCCTCAATGAATGGCTCTTGGTCAATAAGGCACAAAAGTGCTAAGCGCTGGGTTTCAGACAGTGCTGCAGAACGCTCTCTCCCCTCCATGTTTTGATAACATGCGAGCAAACATTGTTGCCAAGTACACAGATGAACTATAAGAATTCCAGCAATGTAAATTATATTCTGACCGGGTAATTTGTATGAATTTTATGAGCTAAAACAAATATCTTCAGTTAATAAAAAAAAAATATTCTTCACAACACTATCTGTCAATCAAAGTACCCCACCTTGCCTCCCCCCTCTTCCAACCACGCCAGGTGGTCGGTCAGTCCCAACCCTCCCCCCACCCCCCACCAATCCTCCCTTCAAGAGATGTTGGGTGAAAAAACTAAATTTTAACATTTAGTAATAAATAATACCTCAGATTAAAGTTAGGATAATATAATTGACATTGCAGGATTCCTTGTAAGACCAGGAATATTTTGAATATAAATGTCATATATTTTGCACAAAAGATAACATATTTACTCAGAGTAAACATTATATCTAAAATTTGTATGTCTAATGCAAAATCTATGATGTTTATATTCAAAATGATCATCAAATTGTAAGAATTCCAGCAATGTAAATTATATTCTGACCGGGTAATTGGTATGAATTTTATGAGCTAAAACAAATATCTTCAGTTAATAAAAAAAAAAAATATTCTTCACACGGTAACAGATGATTGGTCGGTCCCTCCCTCCCCCCACCCCCCACCAACCCTCCCTACCAGATGTGTGGGAAAACCAGAATATTTACCTTTTTAGTAATAAATAATACCTCAAACTAAAGTTAGGATAATATAATTGACATTGCTGGATTCCTTGTAAGACCAGGAATATTTTGAATACAAATGTCATATATTTTGCACAAAAAATAACATATTTACTCAGAGTAAACAATATATCTAAAATTTGTATGTCTAATGCAAAATCTATGATGTTTATATTCAAAATGATCATCATATTGTAAGAATTCCAGCAATGTAAATTATATTCTGGCCGGGTAATTTGTATGAATTTTATGAGCTAAAACAGGCAGGCAGGCAGGCAGGCAGGGTGGTGGGTCGGGGGAATCTAAAAATAGCGTCTGAAGCCGGACACTCTGCGCGTATACGTGGAAAAAACCCGCGTTAAGTGAAAGTTCGGCTTTGGCGAGGCACCGCGTATACGTGAAATCGCGCTAAGCGAAACCACGTAAAGCGGGGTATTACTGTGCAGTAATACCCCGCTTTACGAGGTTCTGGTTTACGCGTTTCTACATTTATGCGGTACCCTGCCAGAACCGGAATTCCCACTTTCCGCGGTGCATCTACTCATATACGCAGGTGAAGTATAATTTTCTTATTTAGATTAGAAAATTCATACAAATTACCCAGCCAGAATATAATTTACATTGCTGGAATTCTTACAATATGCTGATCATTTTAAATGTAAACATCATGGATTTTGCATTAGACATACAAATTTTAGATCTAATGCAAGAATTTTGTTTACACAGAGGAAGTATGTAATCTTTTGCGCAAAATATATGATGTGTATACAGTATTACCCCGCCTAACGCGGTTTCACTTAACGCGTTTTATCATATACGCGGTGCCTCGCCAGAGCTGAACTTTCACTTAACGCGGAATTTTTCATCATATACGCGGGAAGCGGCGCGGGCACGATGCGCACAAGGTCGCCCAGTCATCAAAACATTACCGAAAGTTTCACCCGCCACCACCACAGCCGCCCAAGTCATGATAGTGATAATTATAGTGAGGATATGGACTTACATGGCCTTTGAGGGTTTGACAAAGAGGGTCTCTGCAAGCCTCTGTAGGATAGTGATACAATTGATACAAGTGATGCTGGTGAGGGCCAACAATCTGCCCTCTGCCTGAACTAACCCCCATCCCCGCGTGTGCCCAGCCATCTTTCTACTTCACGTAAGCAAAACCCATTATTATATTTTAATTATTAATTGTGTGTGCATACCATCATAAAGTTAAGATAAAATTTTTACTACAACATAGT